AAGAATAGAATTGATATCTGTATTGGGATTGCATTGAATTGTGGATGCCACTCCTGTTCCAAATATATACATGTATATAGTTGGATTCTATTGAACAGGATTTTGTTGAGGCTTTTTGTATCTATCTTCACGAAAGATACTGGTTTCTAGTTTTCTATTTTTGCAGTATCTTTATCTGACTTTGGTATCAGGGATATATTTGCTTTTTAGGGTGAATCTGGGAGTATTTAATCTTTTTTTATTTTCTGAAATATTTTATATAGAATTGAATGTTTGGTAAAATTCAGTTGTAAAACCATCTGGGCCAGGGCCTTTCTTGGTTGGAAACTTTTTTACACCTTGTTCAATTTGTGGTGAGTTTGTTCAGGTGTTCTATCAACTTCAGTCAGTTTAGATGGGTTGTGAGTTTCTCCATTTGTCCGTTTCTTCTAGGTTTTCATGTTTGTTTGAGTAGTTTTTAACAAAAGTCTCTTATTAAGCTTTTTATTTCAGTTGGTTCTGTTGTGACCACCCCCTTCACCTCTCATTTGGTTGTGTCTTCTTTCTTTTCCTTTGTTAGCTTTGCTAATGGTTTGTTAATTTTATTGATCTTTTTGAAGAACCATCCCCTGGTCTAGTTGATAGTTTCAGTTTTTCTTTCCTATTTATTCCATTGTTTTCTGCATGAATTTTTAGAATTTCCTGTCTTTTAGAGGTTTTTAGATTTTCTTGCTATCCTTTTTTCTATTTGTTGGAGATGTTGGGTTAAATAATTATTTTTCATTCTTCTCTTTTGATGTGTTTGCTTATTGCTATGAATTGACTTCTGGCTGTTTCCCAGAGGTTTTTCTAAGCTGTGTTTTCATTTGCTTCAAGAAACTTTTATTTCATTTTTATTTATTCTGTTACCCACTCATGTTCAAGGAGGGTGTTATTCAGTTTCCATGGGCATGATTTTTCTCCTCGATCTTGTTTTAAATTTCTAATTTTGTAGCATTGTGGTCTGAGAAAATGCTTTGTATTATTTCAACATTTTTCAATATTTTAAGGCTTGCTTTGTCATCTAAATTATTATCTATTCTGGAGAATATTCTGTGCAGGCTGGAGAATAATATTTCCTGAGCTTTTTTGGGGTGCATTAGCTTGTTTATATATTTGAAATTGAGTTGGTGGATTGTGAATGTTTTAAATCTTCAGCATCTCTGTTAAGTGTCTTTCTGTTTATTCTGTCTTTCCCTGAGAGTGGTGTATTGCAGTCTCCTACTACTAATTTTGTGATATCTATTTCTTAATCTTATTTGCTCTCCTTTATAGGTTACTCTTCATTTTTCCCTAGCTGCTTTCAGAATTCTTTCCTTGTCTTTGAGTCTTGGTGTTTTTCTCTTGGGGTCTATTCCATATGAGGTTCACTCATCTTCTTGAATTCATATTCTCTCATTCTTCATGATACTTGGAAAGTTTTCTTCTGGTAACTATATTACAACTTTGTAAGTGCCTTTTTTCCTTCTTCTTCCTGTTCTGGAATTCCAAGTATGTGCGTGGTATTCCTCTTGAGAGTATCATTCATTATTTGTAGGCTTTCTTAATTTTCCTTTTTGATTCCAGTTTTTGCTCCAGCAGATCAGTGCTGAGCACCCTACTATTTCTGATTCTGTGCTCTCTCTCTCTCTTCAGTTATGCTTATCTGTCCCTCCACCATGCCAATAGCTTCTGAGATGCTGATCCTAATATTCGAAATTGCTGCTTGTTGTCTTTCCTAGAGTTTCTAGTGCCTCATTTGTTTTGTCTGCATTGTCTTGAATTATTTTTTTCTTACATTCCTCTTGGCTTTTGCTAGTAGAGTCCTGGAGTTTTTCTTCCACCCGTTGAAAAAGACGTGACCATTGCTCTTTTGAATACTGTGGCAGAAAGTTCCATCAGGCTTTCCAGCTTCAGGAAATCCTTGATTCTCGGTTTTGATTACTTCTTTGGGATGATGTCTTGCATTGGTTTTGTGTAGGGTGTGAGTAGTCAGCTTCTTCCATGTCATTTCTGTGACAGTTTTTCTTGTCTGGGACCCTCACAGATTCTGATGACCTTGGCTGGTGAACTCACTGCTCCAGAGGAGAGAAGGACACCTTGTTTTGTCTGACTATCTCTCTGGCAGAGAAGACTTGTGTCAGTTGGAGAACTCAACATTCCAGTTGGAAAGGGAGGGCAACTCACCCTGCCTCACCCTGCTGTTGATCCTTCTTCTCTGGTCCTGTGGCAGAGTTCCCTGGAGCAGGGAACCCACTGTGAAGTGGTCTTTCCTGAAGTGGTTTTTCCTTTTTTACTGCTGGTCTTTCCTGGTCACCCAGCTGGTGAGAATGTTGGCTCTGGCTGGGGAGTCCACTGGAAAGGGAACTGGAGGAGAGCTTGCCTTGCTTCTGTTCCTTCTTGTCTGGTCCAGCAGCAAAGTTCTCAGTGACTATGGCGGCCACCAGGAAAGGAACTTACTCTGCCTCTGTCCCAACACTGGAAAGGTCACTCTGGCTGGGAGCTCACCAGGTTGAGAGCTCATCCTGCCCCTGTTCCTTCTCTGGTCCTGCTACAAAGTTCTCTATGGCTGGACCATAACAGGAAGGTAACTAGCTCTGGCCCTGTCCTGGAGCTGCTGGGAAGATTACCCTGGCTCAAGAGCACATCAGAAAGTGAACTCAAGAGAGCTTGGCCTAAAAAAAAAAAAAAAAAGAGAGCTTGGCCTGCTTCTATTCCTTCTTTTCTGGTTCCACAGCAAAGTTCTCTATGGGTGCAGAGTCCCCTGGGAGGTAACTTGCTTTGCCTTGCCTGGGGTTGCTGGGAGTTTCATTTCGACAGAAGCTCACCTGGAGAAGAACTTGCCTGGCTTCTGTTCTTACTCTCTGATCTGGCTGCAAAATTTCTATTAGCTACAGAGCCCCCTGGGAGGGAACTTGCTCTGCCACTGTCTTGGGGTTGCTGGGAATTTAACCCCAGCAGGAGCTCACCTGGAGAGGAGCTTGCCCTGTTTCTATTCCTTCTTGTCTGGTCTTGCTTCAGCATTCTCTCCATTTTGCCTTTTGAAAAGCTATCTGTATGGGTTCAAATTGACAATGCCTCTAAAAGGTTAGATATTAACTTTAAGTGGTATTGACATTTTGTTAATTCAGATCTAACTCAGAAAAAGAAGGTAAGAATGTTTACCTAACTTGAACAGTGTAAAATATGGTGGCTTTGTGCTAACCCAAAGGCCTTGTCCTCCTGGCATTTTTTGTCCATTAGTGTTTCTAAGGGAGTAATATGAACAGTTTTCTTCTGTGTAGTTTTGAGGCAATGGTAGTGAGTTAGAATTGTATGGATAGAAACTGTTCGATTGGTGTATATACTCAACAAAATAAAGTTTTAAAACTTATCAGGTTTGAAAAGAACTGCCTTGAATGTTGTTTATTTGAAGTATTCAGTGAGTAATGCAAATGAGGTGGATTGATTCAGTGACTGGGATAATTGGGATGGGAGTGTCAGAGACAGTGCGATTGGCACAGGACAGAGCGGAGTTTAGGGCTGTTGTACATAGGGTCGCTATGAGTCGCAGGCAACTCGACGGCACATAACAACAACAACAACAATGCAAATGACAATATTTCCTGCACTTTTATTTCAGTGGATTGAAATTAGTATTTATATACTGAGTAAAGGGAAAAAGGTCATTGTTTATAAGATCACTGAAGGAACCTGTAATGTTTTAGGGGAAAAATAGTCAGTGTTTGGGGCCAAATTTTGTTTCACAATATCCTGATTAAGTACTACAAGAATTGACTCTCTGATTCCAGATTGGATACACTTTACTAGATTATTTAAGGAAAATTATTTATTAGTGGTCATATTTATACTAATAGCACCCAACATAAGGTTTAATGGATTTATTAGTGAAATAATTATTTTAATAGATAATTTATTTTTACTGTTTTCTTCCCTGGAGTTTTAATTTACTTGTTCAAGAAAGCTTAAATTATGCCTAGTATTTGTCTTAGAGTATCTGAATTTTCATTTTAGGGGAGAATATTTGGAGTACCTTTTAATGCCTTGCCCCATTCTATTGTACCAGAATATGGACACATTCCAAGGTAAGCAATGTTTGAAATAAAGTTTAAAGTAAATATTTAAAAATTATGTTAGAACTTTTACAAAGAATGAATTCATACATTTGCTTTAAACTAGTAATTCATCTCTCTATCTTGGTTTCGATTCTATGTCAATGAGTTTGAGTTTTTATGTAATAGCCTGGACTTTACTTAGTGTAGCAATAAAAGAATTTAAGCTTTAGGACAATTTTTCTTGCATTCAGTCCTATAGATCTATAGTCCATCTTGTGACAATACCATGTGTGTTAGAGTAGAACAGTGCTCCGTAAAGCTTTACTGTTGTGTACTGTCAAGTCAGAACTGAACTATAGCTGGTCCTACAGCGTATTTTCAGAGGCAATAAACTCACGAAAGAAGATAGTCCATTTTTCTCTTGCAGAACTGCTGATGGATTTGAACCACATACCTTTTCATTAGCAGAGCAATTCCTTACCACTAAGCCACCAGAGCTCCCTATAGAATTTTACTGACTGGTGTTTTAGAAGTAGCTCACCAGGCCTTTGTTCTGAGTGTCACTATTGGGTGGACTTGAACCTCTTACCTTTAATTAGCAATTGAGCTTGTTAAACATTTGCACCACCAAGAACTTCTTTCGTTAGATTAAGAGGAATAAAAGTCAATTGGAAGTGAGTAAATTGAAACTAGGCTATGAAGAAGTAGAAGCAGGTGAAAGACAAATCTTGTACTTTGAAGGAAATCACAAAAGAGAGATGACTTGCAAAGGATGTAGGATTGAGCTCACTAAAGTTGTAGGGTAGTTATGAAGCTAGAGGGATGACTAAAAGTAACCTTAAATCACAAATATTAAAAGTTTGTTGTATTAAATTTCTGAAAGAAGTTACCTAGCATTTCACACGGATAACAGTGGTAACAATGTACTTTCCTAGTATGTTATGTCTTAATGATGTATGTTTGAAAGTATCAAATTAGGAGGTATGTGGCAAAAGTAAAGCTGGCCATGATAGTTAAAGTGTATGTCACTTGACTTAGCCATGATTTTCAGTGGTTTTTCAGTTAGGCAAGGATGTAACCATTTCATCATCTGATACAGCCATCCATTTTTACATAACAGCAGTTTTCACATAATGACTCCATCTATAGACCCTAACTAACTATGTCAGTAAGCGAGGAAGGGTATTGGTTTGTTGTACACATGGAGAGCATAGAATTTGCTAATACTTGTTTCTGATCAACTATTAATATTTTTGTTTTTCAGCTTTCTTGTTAATGCTTGTACATATTTAGAAGAACATATTCATACTGAAGGACTTTTTAGGAAATCAGGATCTGTTATTCGTCTGAGAGCACTAAAGGTAACATACTTTATTTTAATTAATATTTTTTATCATTCATATATATTGTGTTTTGTGCATGCACACTGTTTTATACAGTATTTCATTTACATTATATTAATTAGGTTTTCTTCCTCTTAAAATCATCTTACTAATAATTTCATTCATGAAAGCATGTCAGCCACTACTTCATGCCTCATTCCCCTAAAATTCTCATTTAGATAGCTAATTTCTGAGTCGCTCATCCCTATTAAACTAATTTTCTGAGGGAATAAGCATGTCCCTTTTGCTTAAGGATCTTCTGTTCAACTTGGAAATTTTGAGCATCTGCATTCACAAGCAAAGTCCAGTCCAGAGCAAGCCATCAGATTGCAGCAGTGAAACCTGGCTCACAGCATAGGTCATCTTCTCTTCATCTGGTTGGGTTTTGGTCAGCTCATTCCCCATCTGTGGTGAAGTTCAAATGGGCATCAGCTGCAACCTCAGGAGTCCACACTTTTTCTCGTATTCCAGACCTATTGTCTCCTCTCTCAGCCCTAGCCTCCACATCGCGCCAGGTCAACAAGCCAGAAGTCCTCATGCCTCGCAACTCCTCAGGCCAACAACCCTTCCCTGCTCATCCACACATCTGTGCATACTAGGTGGACAGTGTTGAAGGTACACATACAAGCTTAGCCTGTTTCTCCATTGTTGTATTCCTCTCATTCCATTCCTGTGGATCTTAGTGACTGCTGTGAGTGAGCACACTCCAGCTGCAAGTCTTAGATGGGCACCAGCTTTACCCTGCACCAGAAGCCAAACTGCTTGTTTTAGTTTTAAAGACAGTCTCTTCCTTTCCTTTTTTCCCCCTTTTGTCTCCTTTCCTGCTTGCCCTTCTTCTTTTTTAGTTTTGTGTGTGTGTGTTTAAATTTATGATTTATTGTGTTTGACTTTGGATCATAACAAGTTGTAACTAACATGGAAAATACTGGGAATCCCAGAGCACTTAATTGTGCCATGAGAAACCTAGAACAGGAGGCTGTTGTGTAACCAGAGCAAGAGAACACTACAAGGTTTAAAACTGGAAAGGGAGTGTGTCAGGATCGTATTTTTTCTCCATATCTATTTAATCTATATGGCACGTAAATTATTTGAAAAGATGGACTCTTATGAAGAGTAATGTGGCATTAAGATTGGAGAGAAACTCATCAGTGGTGGAGAGAGACTCATCAATGACTTGCATTATACACATGGTACAACTTTGCTTACTGAAAGTGAGAACTTGCAGAAGATCAAGGAATACAGCCTTAAATAAGGATTGTGTCTCAATGTCAAGAAAACAAAGATTCTTACCACTGGATGAATCAGCAAAATCATGGCAGGCGGGAAAAAGTTGAAAATCTCACCAACTTCATCTTGCTTGGATCCACAATTAACACCCTTGGTACCAGTGGTCAGGAAATTGGGAGACATACTGTGCTAGGAAAGTCTGCAGTTAGGGACCTCTCCAAATTATTGAGGAGTAATGATGTCAGTTTGAGGATTTAAGATGTGTCCGATTTGTCCAGAGACACAAGGGAAGTGACTGTGGCCGGAGTCGGACCTCCGCCGCCACCCGCACCATGCCATAGGAGAAGGCCTTCAAGCAGCGCTGCACCTTTGAACAAAGAGTGAAAAATGTCCGGCTGATCCGAGAGCAGCATCCAACCAAGATCCTGATGATCATAGAGCGGTACAAGGGGGAGAAACAGCTGCCCATGCTGGACAAGACCAAGTTCCTGGTGCCGGACCACGTCAACATGAGCGAACTCCTCAAGATCATCAGGAGGCGCCTGCAGCTCAACGCCAACCAGGCCTTCTTCCTGCTGGTCAGCGGCCACAGCATGGTGAGCGTGTCCACGCCCATCTCTGAGGTGTACGAGAGTGAGAGTGAGAAGGACGAGGACGGCTTCCTGTACATGGTCTACGCCTCTCAGGAGACCTTTGGGACCCATGCCACCGCCTAAGACTGGCAAACGCAGCTGCTCTGGAGTGTCTGCACCCTCCTAGGGGACAGAAAGGGATCACAGCAACTGAGGCCATCAGCTCCTTAACCCAGGCCGCCAGGAGCAGCCTTGTCTCAGGCACAGCCCTGCTCCGCCAGCATGCTCCGCTTCAGAGAACTGGTATTAACCTCTCCACTGTTGCCCACTGTTAGATGTTGATGAATAAAATACCTTGCCTTTTTAGTTGCCAATTAAAAAAAAAAAAAAGATGTGTTAGATTCAGGGCACAGTCTTTCAGATCACTTGTTATGCATTTGAGAGCTGGACAATGAATAAGGATGACAAAAGAATTATTGATGTTTTTGAGCTGTGTTGTTGAAGAGCACTAAATATCCCGTGGAGTATTTGAGACAGTAGTCCTTGAGCTTCTCCACCGTGGTATATTCCCTCGATTCCTCCAGCCACTTGGCATCATCAGTCATGCAGTCACATCACCTTGCCTGTCGTAATCTCAGCCTGTATTAACCTCTCCCTCTGGGTCTTTGGCCACCACTCGGCTGTGGAGGTCACCAAGGTGGGGCCAGGATGCCCCCTTGCTACCCTGCTCCCATTGGCCTGCCAGGTCACTTACCTGCCTCAGCAGCCACCATACTAAAGCACCTTTGCCCTTCGTTAGAATGTGAATCTCTTCAAACATAAGTCTAGTATGAGCCTACAAATGCACTCAAATACAATTCTCCTGAGAGTACTGGGTGGGACTCAATCTTTCCCCTACCAAGCTCCAATACTTACTACTAGATTCTGTTTTTAACAAGCTTATCTCCAGGACAGATCTTCCCTTTTTTTTAGTACTTCTGATCAAGTACTGACCTAAGGTGGAGTTACACACTGTCTAAATCTACAATATCAATGGGTAAACATACTTTTGAAGTATAGTTTTTCATTTGTACCCTTAATTCTTCAGTTTAGTTTCTACAATTAAATGCTTAATGAAAGGTTTACAGAGTACTTTCACACTTTTTCATTTCTGTAAAATAACAAAGTAGGTAAAAAAAGTAACTTAAACTGTTTTAGTCTTCTATGAAGATGGCATTTGTTGGTTGCTGTTGAGTTGATTCTTAATTGAGAACGACCTCCAGATAATGTTACACCATAGAGTTTTGAGATTGTGACCTTGCAGAAACTTTGATTGTCAAACTCATCTTCCAGGGCACCTCTTTGTGGGTTTGAACTATCAACCTTTCAGGTGGTAGTCAAGCCCTTAACCATTTGTGCCATCCAAGGAATCTCTTGATAGGAAAAATACATAATAAAACTAGAAAGAAGAGATATTTATTAAAGACAGCATTTTAAGGCTATCTAAAAGACTGAAGGCTATCGTAAAGATTTACTTGCAGTTAATCCTTAAGGAAAAAAAAATATGTGCTCACGATTATTACATTTATTTCAGAATAAACTGGATAATGGAGAAAGTGCCCTATCTTCTGCACCGCCTTGTGATATTGCAGGACTTCTTAAGCAGTTTTTTAGGGAGTTACCAGAGCCCATTCTCCCAGCTGATTTGCAAGATGCACTTTTCAAAGCTCAACACTTAGGAAAAGAGGAGAAGAATGCAGCTACACTGATGCTGTCTTGCCTTATGACTGACCATACAATTGCTATTTTAAGATATTTCTTTAACTTTCTCAAGAATGTTTCGCTTAGGTAAGTGTTAATTATGTCTTGGAATGTAATAATTTAATTTCCTAACTAAATAAAGATTTATCATTATCAATAATACAATTTTATTTGGAATGGAGATTTTTCTGCAAAGTTTTATTACATATTTTCTTGCTGTAAAAACTATATTGCTAAAAAAAACCCCAAAACTATATTGCTGTTGGGTAGTGTAGTATTATCTTTAGTTCATAATGATCCCACATGATGTTATGGAACTGCCTTAGAGAGTTGAATTACCAACCTTTGGGTTAGTAGCTGAATACTTAACTGACCATTACAATTTGAAGGCTACTTACCCTATATATATAATCTAAGAAATGATGTACTTAATAATTTACTATTTCCTTGCCAAGATAGAATTACTATTATGAATTCCTTCATGGTTTATTGGTGTTAATAGGAATCTTTGTCTACCTAAATCTTTTATTGTTTTTAAAATATTTGCTTTTTATATTTGCCTTCTACTCCATCTCATGTCCTTGCCTCTAGTGTTCACTTTCCCCGGCTATTAAAGAGCTTGTGTATTGTAGACATTTTTGCAGCTTTTTCACTTTTACATACAGATTTGAAAATCACATAAGCATATTCAATTGTGTGGAAAAGCAAAGTATGGACCTGAGACAATTGTTTGATTACTGTGGTTTTTAAACACACCAAAGCTCTTTTCCTGTAATTTTCACTTGTGTTGAGAGTCATAAAAATAGGCTCAATACATTGTTGTGGCTTTGTTTTCATCTTTGGCCTCATCTCATAAAATTTTTTATTTTTTTTAAGATCTAGTGAGAATAAGATGGATAGCAGCAATCTTGCAGTGATATTTGCACCAAATCTTCTTCAGACAAGTGAGGGACGTGAAAAGATGTCTGCGAACACAGAAAAAAAGCTCCGATTACAGGCTGCTGTAGTGCAGACTTTTATTGATTGTGCATCAGATATTGGTAAGACGTGACAGGATTTGTTTAAATGAGGGCTGTGCCAGCTTCTTCAAGTGAACTATGAAGAAACCATTAGAAAAGTTGGTGTATACTATCTCAACATTTTGATAGGGAGTATGTGGAGGAAGGATGATTGTCTTATTTAAGGATATTTTTATTTAGGGCGTGTACCAGACTTTATCCTGGAAAAGATACCAGCTCTGTTGGGTATTGATGGTCTCTGTGCTACTCCTTCATTAGAAGGCTTTGAAGAAAGTGAATATGAGTCTTCTGGGGAATGTAAGAGAAAGCGAAGACAAAGTGTAGGAGGTGAGTGGCCACTCATTGTATGGGTTATAATGATACATTTTTACCTAAAGTCTAAAACACTTTTTCCTAAAACTTTTTTATAAGATACTTGAACATAACTATAAGCTAAGGTGCATGTCTTTTGGATGCTTATAGCATCTCCAAACATAAGACGTGCTTGTGAAAAGTTAAAATGGCAAACAGTCTTAGTGCTAAACCAGTAGGACAAGCATAAAATGTATTTAAAGGAGAAAAGTTCCCTAGAATAGTGATCAAAGACACATGAAAGGTCGATCATAAATCTTAAGGAATAGGCAAATTCTGGGAATTGGTTTTATATATCATATTTTAGATGTTGTTAGGTGCCATCAAATTCAATGTGACTTATAACAACCCTGTGGACGATAAATCTGAACCCTGTCCTGTCCTGTCCCATCCTCATTATCTCTGATATACTTGAGCCCATTGCTGCAGTCACTCTGTCAATCCATCTTGTTGAGTCTTCCTCTCCTTTGCTGATCCTTCACCTTTCCAAGCATGATATCCTTTTCCAAGGAATAAGCTACCAACAGGATGTCCCGTGGAACAAATCAATATGACTGTGTGACAGATTGTGAATTACTCACAAGTTAAAATTGAGGCCAAAGAAAATGAAAACACATTCATGAGAATAAAAATATTATCTGGAGTCAGTCCCACCTGAATTTAAAAATCATCTTAAAAACGACTGGAACAGTACATCAGCAGAGAACTGCCAGAAGTCCAGGCTGGGTTTAGAAAGGGTCGTGGTACTAGGGATATTGTAGCTGATGTTAGACGGATCTTAGCTGAAAGCAGAGAATACCAGAAGAATGTCTATCTGTGTTTCATTGATTATGCAAAGGCATTTGACTGCATGGATCATAACAAACTGTGGCTGACTCTGAGAAGAATGGGAATCCCAGAACATTTAATCGTGCTAATGCGAAACCTATACTTGGACCAAGAGGCAGTCGTCAGAACAGAGCAGGGCAACACTGCATGGTTCCAAATTGGGAAGGGTGTATGCCAGGGATGTGTCCTGTCTCCATACCTTTTCAACCTGTATGCAGAGCAGATTATCCGAGAGGCTGGGCTCTATGAGGAGAGGCATGGCGTTAGGATTGGTGGACGATCTATCAACAATCTGCGTTATGCAGATGACACAACCTTGCTCCCTGAAACTGAGGAGGACCTCATGCACTTACTGCAGAGGGTCAAGGACTGCAGCCTTCAATATGGACTGAGGCTCAATGTCAAGAAGACAAAAATTCTCACCACTGGACCAATTGGTAGCATCAGGATGGATGGCGAAGAGATTGATACTGTTCACAGCTTAAGTTTGCTCGGCTCCACGGTCAACACTCTTGGCACCAGTAGCCAGGAAATCAAAAAATGTATTGCGATGGGAAAGTCTGCGGTTAGGGACCTCCAAAATACTCAAGAGCAACAGTGTCTCTCTGGAGACTAAGGTGTGCCTGATACAGGCCATGGTTTTTGCAATCACTTGTTATGCATCAGAGAGTTGGACAATGATTAGGGAGGATAGAAGGAGAATTGACACCTTTGAGCTGTGGTGCTGGAGAAGAGTATTGAATGTACCATGGACTGCCAAGAAAACAAACAGATTCATTGTAGAGAGGATTAAACCAGGCTGCTCCTTGGAAGCAAGGATTCTGGGGCATCGTCTGACATACTTTGGACATGTTGTAAGGAGAGACAGGTCTTTAGAGAGGGACACCATGCTGGGTAGAGTAGAGGGACAGCGCAGGAGGGGAAGACCCTCTATGAGGTGGACTGATTCAGTGACTGGGGTAATCGGGATGGGTGTGTCAGAGGCAATGCGATTGGCACAGGATAGAGCAGGGTTTAGGGCTGTTGTACATAGGGTCGCTATGAGTCGCAAACGACTCGACGGCACATAACAACAACAAGAATAAGTTTGATGTGCAACATGAATGAATGGAAATCCACGTTCCTTATAAACTTTCATTAAAATCTAAAGAAAAGTAAAGAGACAGGGTGATAATAGGCATAGATCAATAGTAATTAATTACATAAAGTACAATGTATATGAGTGATTGTGTAAAACACAATGTACACAAATGAAAACACAATGAAACACAAAGTATATGAATATTGTATGCAAATCAATAAAAAAAATTTTTAAGAAAAGAATAGGTTTACAGCATTTGAACACCAATGATTGCAGACCAGATGAGCTATGAGATGACATCAAGGATATCATATATGAAGAAAGGAAAAGGTCATTACAAAGAGGAGAAAGAAAAAAACAAAATGGTGTTAGAAGAGACTGAAGATTGCATTTATGTGTTGAGAAACCAAAACAAAGGGAAGAGATAATGAAGTAAATATGCTGAACAAAAGATTTCAAGAGGCAGCTAAAGAAGACAAAGCAAACTTTATAATGAGATGTACAGAATTGAGAATAAAAAGGTTCAGTGTTTCTCAAGCTGAAAGAACAGAAAAATTCAAGCCTGAAATGCAATACTGAGAAATGCTATGGGCAAATCTTGAATGATTCAGGAAACCTTTAAAGAAGATGGAAGGAATATACAGAATCACTGTACCAAAAAGAATTAGGTGACACTGAAATTATTTAGAAAGTTGAATATGATCAAGAACCAATGATAATGAAAATAAGAGTTCAGGCTGCGCTAAAGACATTGGCAAAAAGTAAGATCACAGGACTCGGTGAGATATTTACCAACTGATAGATTTCAACTATCAGACATCACCCTGGACATCTTCAGAAGTCTGTGCCAGGAAATTTTAGAGGATAGCTGTCTGGCTGGCTGACTGGCAGAGAACATTATTTATTCCTCTTCCCAAGAAAGGTAATCCAGAAGAATGTGGAAATGATAAAAGAATATCATTAATATCACATGCAAGCAAAATATTGTGGAATATCATTCAAAATGGCTGGAACAGTACATACTGAATTGCCAGAGGTTCAAGCTGGATTTTAGAAAAGGCCATGGCCATTTCTGATTTCACATGGATTCTGGTTGAAAGCAAAGAATATCAGAAGAATGTCTATTTGTGCTTTATTGACTATGCAGAGGCATTGTCTGTGTGAAGCATAACAAATTATTGCTAACATTGGGAAGAATGGGAATCTCAGAACACTGTGTGCTCATATAAAATCTATACATAGACCAAGAGGCTGTTGTGCAAACAGAGCAAGAGAACACTGTTGTTATTTGCCAAGGAGTTGCCTGCGACTCTTCGGGACCCTATGTACAATCATTCTAAACTCTGCCCTATCCTGAGCCAATCTCATCATCTCTGACACACCTACGCTCATTACCCTAGTCACTGAGTCAATCTGTCTCATCCAGGGTCTTTCTCTCTTGCACTGTCCCTTCACCCTTCCAAGCATGCTGTCCTTCTCCATGGATTGATTCCTCTTGGCCACATGCCCCAAAGTTTGTGAGATGGAGCTTCAAAATTATTGCTTCCAAGGAGCAGCTTGTTATCGCCCTCCAGAAAAGACCTGTTTTTTCTCTTGGCAGTTCATGATCAACCCTCTTCTCCCAATACTACAATGCAAATATATCACTTCTTCTATAATCTTTATACATTGTCTAACTCTTAATTGTTTTTTAAGAAAGACATGGATAAGGAAGAAATAATGTGTGTTTTTGTCCGTTAATAGGCCAACCTGACTTCTTAAGGATCCAAGGTTAGGATTATGTTATGTTGAAACAGCTAGAGAATTATAACATTAAGTTGAATGGTGGGTTTTTTTAATTTAAAATTACGTAAGTATTTTTTGAATTCTCTAATTTGAGTAATTGATATTAGGTAGTGGAGAGAGCTACCAGAAGTGTGTGGCAATTATGCAGGTTTGATTGAGTTCAGTGTTCAAACTAGTTAGTGACATAAGGTGCATCTGATACAGGCCATGGTCTTTACGGTCACTTGTTATGCATCAGAGAGGTGGACAATGACTAGGGAGGATAGAAGGAGAATTGATGCCTTTGAGCTGTGGTGCTGGAGAAGAATATTGAATATACCATGGACTGCCAAGAAAACAAACAGAGAGAGGGTTAAACTGGGTGGCTGCTTGGAGGCAAGGATTCGGGGCTTCATCTGACATACTTTGGACATGTTGTAAGGAGAGACCGGTTCTTGGAGAGGGACGTCATATTTGGTAGGGTGGAGGGACAGCGCAGGAGGGGAAGACCCTCTAGGAGGTGGATTGATTTAGTGACCAGGGTAATCGAGATGGGTTTGTCAGAGGCAGTGCAATTGACACAGGATAGAGCAGGGTTTAGGGCTGTTGTACCTAGGGTCGCTATGAGTCGCAAGTGACTCGATGGCACATAACAACAACAATAAACTTAATCAGAGTTTTTCTGGCATAGTGCTCTGCTGCCTTCTGAAAAGTCAATGATTTGAACTCACAACAGACTTTGTAGGAGAAAGAGGTGTCAATTTGTTTATAGCCTTGGAAGCTTTCTGGGAGCAATCCTGCTCTATTCTGTATGGTCATTGTAAGTTGGAATCAGCTCAGTGGAAGACAGTGAATTTGGGGTTGGCTTATAGGCTAAATTTGAAAGAAACATTTGTTATTGTTAGGTGTTGGCAAGTCAAGTACAACTACGTGACCCTATGAACAAAAGATCTGAACTTCGTTCTATCCTGTCCCAACCTCTTACTTCCTGATACACAAGAGTCCATTGCGCCAGTCACCACGTCAGTCCACCTGGTTGAGGGTCTTCCTTTCCTTCACTCACCCTCCATTTTTCCCGGCATCATGTCTCCCTTTCCAAGGAATTGTCCCTCCTAGCAACATACTCAAAGTAGTTGAGAAGAAGCCTCATTATTCTTGTCTTCAAAGAACACTCTTTGGCTGCACCCTCTCCAAGACATATCTATTTGTTCTTTTGGCCATCTGTGGAATGTTCAGTGCTCTTCTCTAACACTAGAGTTCAAAGGTGTCAATTATTTTTCTGTCATCCTTATTCATTGTCCAG